TAAATCACACTCATGACCACCATCATAATCACTTTAATCATAATCGTTACCACCACTATCATCATAATCACACTCATAACCACCATAATCACTTTAATCATACTCATTACCACCATCATCATCATAATCACACTCATGACCACCATCATTGTCACCTTCATCATAATCGTTACCACCACCATCATCATCATAATCACACTCATGACCACCATCATTGTCACCTTCATCATAATCGTTACCACCACCATCATCATCATAATCACACTCATAACCACCATCATCGCTTTAATCATAATCGTTACCACCATCATCATTATAATCACACTCATGACCACCATCATTGTCACCTTCATCATAATCACACTCATGACCACTATCATCATCACTTTCATCATAATCATTACCACCATCATCATCGCTCTGTGTGAGTTATTGTATGTTAACAGTGCATGGTGGCATTTGTGTGTTCATATGCGTGTGTGTGCGTGTGTGTAACTACTACGAATCGGGAGACCCGAGATCGATTCCCGCTCACAGCCAAAATTCGTGACGAATTCCTAAACCGGTCTGGGACCTCCCCTTGGTCACCTCAGCCTCAAATGAGTCTTGTATCTGGTATGGTGTGTAAAACATCTGCAATGTGGAGACAAAGGCGGACGAGCGTGCTTTGGACTTTGAAAACCCATCTCTATAAACTTCCCTCTTTAGTTTGGTCGGTTGCGCTGGTTTCGTTATTTTTAGTTTCCTGCATTTCATTGGGATCCTAGGATAGAATGCGAATTCTAAATTTGAATTATTATTATTATAGGTGCTCACTAACAGCGCTTGCTCCGACAGCCTCATCTGAACAGGGGATCTTTGTCCGTTTTGGCTATACACACGACGAGTGTGTGTATACACAAAGACAAAGATCACACACACGAGTGTGCGTATGTACGTGTGAATGTGTGTGTGTGTGTTACCTGTGTAGTCACGGGGCCCCTGGGCAGCACGCGAAAGTGATACGAGCAGCAGCGCGCTCACCAAACGACAACACTGCCCCCCCTCCCCCCATCACATTACAAGTTTCTATTTATGAGGGGAACCGACGGGCCGCGCGTCGTAGCCGGCCCGCTACGTCTTCATTTCTCACGAGCCGCGGCCACACGAGCTGGGCCCACGTGACAGACAATCATCCGAGGATCTTAGCCGCACTAACCAGGTGCTGGAGCGGGAATGTGTTCGCCCCGGCGACGACGACGACGACGCTGTGCCTCTAAGTGGATCTCGCCGAGCGGAACTCGCGAAAGCCACTTGCGCTGAGCCCGCCCGATGTTCACGCACCGCGCCGGATACTCATTTCAGGCTGAGCTGACACCGACAGGGGAAGGGGGCCTCACCTCGACATGGCCACTGATGTTGGTGATCGCACTGAGGGTGACGAAGATACAAAGGTCCCCCCGTGTAGCCAACACGGACTGTTGGGGCATGTGATGTTAACGAGGGTCTATGAAGGCAAGCATGGTACACGAGGCAGTGATTGGTCAAAACCGCGCCAGTCCGCCTTTGTCTCCCCAATCCTGATGTTTTACACACCGCACCAGGTACGCATTGAAGGCTGAGTCGAGATAGGGGAGGCCCAGGACCGGCTCAAATATTCGCCAGTGCTATCGGTCCTGAGCGGGAGTCGAACTCGGGTCGCCGGGTTCGTAGCGCAGTGCGCCAACCACATACACCACTGCTCCCCACACACACGAAGATCCTCCATTTAGCCTGTAACAGACTGTTAGCGCAAGTGCTGTTAGCGAGCACCTATGAAGGTCGGCATGGCACACGAGGGGGTGGGTGGCCAGCACCACGCCCGTCCGCCTTTGTCTCCCCAGTGACGATATTTACACGCCGCGCCAGATACTCATTTGAGGCTGAGTCGGCCTGGGGAGGCCCACAACCGGTTCAGATAATTGTCACTGATGTTGGCCGTGAGCGGGAATCGAACTCGGGTGGCCAGGTCCGAAGCGCAGCGCGCTAACCACCACCCTACCGTTCCCCACACACACCACACGCACACACGTGCACACACGTGCACACACACACAGCCTCGGAGTGAGGGGGTGACATCACCGCCTGCACTTCTCCCTCTCTTCTCTCTCACGCTCAGGTGTCGCCTTTCATTGCCGAGGGCGGGAGGGGGGTGACAAGGGAGTGAGGGGAGGTTCAAGTGAGTGGAGGAGGAGGTGGGTGTGTGGGGAGTGGGGTAGTGGATGGGGGGTAGTGGGTGGGGGAGTGGGGTAGTGGATGGGGGGGGGAGTGGGGTAGTGGATGGGGGGGGGGGTAGTGGTTGGGGGGGAAGTGGGGTAGTGGATCGGGGGGGGTGGGCGGAGTGGGGTAGTGGTTTGGGGGGGGTAGTGGATGGGGGGTGTGAGGAGTGGGGTAGTGGATGGGGGGGGTGGAGAGTGGGGTAGTGGATAGGGGGGGGGTAGTGGATGGGGGGGGGGAGTGGGGTAGTGGATGGGGGGTGTGGGAAGTGGGGTAGCGGATAGGGGGGGGAGTGGGGTAGTAGATGGGGGGGGGGGTGAGGAGTGGGGTAGTGGATGGGGGGGGAGGTAGTGGATGGGGGGGGGGGGTGGAGAGTGTGGTAGTGGATGGAGTGGGGTAGTGGACGGGGGGGGGTGTAGGCGGATGGTGGTAGTGTTTATAACGAGAAGCGCTCGGGTGCGGCAAGTCCAGCCGTGCACACCTCGGACCCGTGCGAGCGGTCGCCGGGGCAGCCCCCTGCCCTCCCCTGTGCCCTGCCGCGAGCCGCTCACGCGCCGCGCCGCGCCCGTTTAAAGAGCCATAAATCGTGGCGAGGACTCTAATCGGTGGGTGTCGCTCATGGCGAGGGATAGTGACGGGACAGCGGCGCGGAACGCCGTGGAAGTCACCGGGGGTTGACAGCTTCATCAGCAGCAGTAGTAGCAGCAGCAGCCCCGACCCCACGCGACGTTCAGCCACCGACGGGCAAAGTTGCCCCGAACGCGTTCGGATGTCGAAAGCTAAGCAGAGGGGGGTTGCTCCTGGTTAGTACGTTGGACGGGTTGACCGCCTGCACTGGGCGCTTCTTGCCCAGGTGTTGCAGGCGTGGGGGGTTGCGTGGGGGGGCCAGGAGATGGCGCTGCTGAGAGTCGCCCCCCTCCCCCCGCAGCCCACCGCTGTCCCCCCACCCCCGTACAGAGCGCGGTGCCGGGGCGCATGAAGCCAGCAGTCCTGTCCCGTGGGATTGGGCAGACATCCCCAATGTGTGCGAGACTCTCCCCCCAAAAAGTTTTAATCTTGAGACTCAACGAAGCTCTCGTGACTTTACAAAACTTGCTATTATTGTTCTTATCATCATTTAGACATCAGTGGCCGTGGTGGTGGTGGTTGTGGTGGTGGTGGTGAGAACAGCGTGTTCTTGCTTGTTTCTGCTGCGCAGCACCCGCGCGTGAACGCGGCACACGGAGGCGAGGGGGAGTCGGCGTGGACCCGGACCCCTCTTGCGGGGGCCACTGGGCGATCCCTGAGCGCCTCGAGAGAGCCGGCGCTGAGACCCCCCCTCCCACCGCCCCCCTACTGCCCCCCCCCCCTTCTCCCCACCCCGCTGAGCCACTTCAGAGCGCGAGGGGTCCCCCGGTGACCGCGGCTATTGACATCGCGGATCGTAAAAAGGTAAAGGCGCAGCCCTGCAATGTCTTGCTCACACCACTGCTGGTGGAAGGTCCTCCACCAGAGGAAGCTCAAGAGAGCCCCCCCCCCGGGAGTATTTGGCCTACTCTTCCGCGCTGGCTATAAATCACGGCGGCGGACGCGGGGTTTAAGAGAAGTTGACCATTGTTTAAACTGCAGAGAGCGATTCGTTGTCTGTCACGTGGAACGCGTACACACGTACACACGTACACACACGCGTACACACATCGCACACTCATATCGACATTCTATTTCGAATCAGCTATATTGACGCAGACTGCGTTAGTGGATGAGCGCGTCACGTGGGACGTGTTTAACAATCATCGGGTGCGTGCAGCGTGGAAGGATTTTTTTTGAATGGGGAGTAAATTGGAAAACGCGCGAAAATGCGTACCGGAGTTTGTATAAACCCTGGTTTTATAGCGACTATCATCAGCAAGAGTTTCATCATCAGCACACTCATTAGCATCATCATTCACACTTCATCATCATCCACACTTCAACATCATCATATATAATCCACCACAACCACGTACTCCACCAATACCATCATATACTCCACCATCAAGACCACCACCACCAACAACAACAACCCAAACTACGGAAGCATGACAAAACTGAATTTCCACCCGCGAGGTAGCCGCACTCCCCGTTAGCAAGGACGCGACCTGCACTCAGAATCTGTATCTGTAACTGGAGAAATCCGAGAAGCTATAAAGTAATTTTTTTTACAGATGCCGAGTAGGGGCGGGTCAAAAAGTTACAACGAACAATACAAGAACCCTGAGCCCCCCCCCCCCACCACCACCTCCAACCCACTCCCTTGGTTCGTGTTCATCTGTGGAACACAGTCGTGGGGAGTGAGGGAGTCGCGGCACGAGGGGGGGGGGGCAGCGTCACCTCAAGGTGGCGACGCGAGAGATGGACTCGGCGATAAAAGTGAAACCCGATAGGCCGCCGCCAGTGACTTCACCACCAGGGCCGAATTAAAGTTATGAAAACAAAGGAGCTCATTCAGGGCAATGGGTAAATAAATAAATGGCCCCTGTAGAGACGCCCCTTGCCGCTATTGGGGTGCGAGGTTGGTCCATTGACAAGACGTCCATTCATTCATCATTCGCTCACGCTCACGAATTCACGAACACATTCATTAAATCAGCCCCTCGAATCGCCACGCGTCGTTCACTCCTCACTCACGGATTGGCTCACTCTCTCACAATCATGAATTCGTTCCCTCCCTCCAGCCAGCAAAACCTTTTTGTTTAAATATATATAACACAGTACGATATGTCTTGAAGTTACTCACTCACCTCCACCGCGCGGCCAAATGATGGATGATGACTCGTTCCATCGCGGTCCCCTCCCACCTCCCGCAGCCATGCAGCTCGACTCCGGCTCCGGCTTGCGGGGCGCCTCGTTCCTGCTGGGCGTCGCCCTCGCCTGCTGCTGCTGCTGCCGCTGCTGCAGCTGCTCGGCCGTGCCGGGCGTCGTGGCGGGCGCCCTGCAGCAGCAGCAGCAGGGCGCGGCGACCCGCACACTGCGCCTCGACTCGTTCGTGGGCTGCGCCGTGCGGGAGTTCACGTTCGTGGCGCGCAAACCCGGCTGCCGCGGCGTGCGCGTCACCACGGACGCGTGCTGGGGACGCTGCCAGACATGGGAGGTGAGCAAGGGGCAGCTGTCTGTGTGTGTGTAGGGGCAGCTGTCTGTGTGTGTGCGGAGGGGCAGCTGTGTATGGAGGGGCAGCTGTGTGTGCGCGTGTGTAGGGGCAGCTGTATGTGTGTGTAGGGGCAGCTGTCTGTGTGTGTGCGGAGGGGCAGCTGTGTATGGAGGGGCAGCTGTGTGTGCGCGTGTGGAGGGGCAGCTGTATATGTGTGTAGGGGCAGCTGTATTTGTGAAGGGCACCTGTGTGTGTGGAGAGAGGTAGCTGTGTGTGTGTGGAGTGGCAGCTGTATGTGGAAGGGCAGCTGTGTGTGCGCGTGTGGAGGTGCAGCTGTGTGTGTAAGTTGCAGCTGTATTTGTGAAGGGCACCTGTGTGTGTGTGTGGAGGGGCAGCTGTCTGTGTGTGTGCGGAGGGGCAGCTGTGTGCGGAGGGGCAGTTGTCTGTATGTGTGAAGGGCACCTGTGTGTGTGTGGAGGGGCAGCTGTCTGTGTGTGGAGTGGCAGCTGTGCGTGTTGAGCGGTAGTGTATCGGTTCGCGCGCTGCTTTACGAACCTAGAGACCCAGGTTCGATTCCCGCTCACGGCCCACACCAGTAACGTGATACGAATCGGTCCTGGGCCTCCTGCGGGTCAAGTCAGCTTCAAACGAGTACCTGGTGCGATGTGTAAGGAGACAAAGGCAGCCGGGCGTGGTGTTGGCCACCCACCCCCTCGTGTGCCGTGCAGGCCTTCATAGGTGCTACTCGCTAACAGCATTTGTCCCAGCAGTTTGTTTAGTCCAGTTGTTCTCAACCTTCACTGCAGCCTTTGCACACCTTTGGTTCTCAATCATAATTAATTTAATATTTTTTTTTATAAATACAGAGGGGTTTAATGAAACAAAATCGTTGTATTTACGTGCCCGTGCTAAATTTGTCTCGCACCTCCAGAGAGGGCATCTCGCGCCCCCATGGGGAGCGAGCACCCCAGGTGAAGACACCACTTTTTAGGCTCCACGGGGGATCTTTGTCTGCTGCTGCTGTGTGTAGAGCGGCGGGGTTCATAGCGCCGTGCAGTCACCGCTGCCCCACACCACATCGCGACGCAGATATAACACTGGTCAACACACTTTTTCTGGCATAAGGTATTCCAACGGTTTTAAGGTAATTTTGGGGTGCTGATTCAAAATCTGGCATCAGTTTTTATCTACCACATCAGGTTTTTGAGATATCAAATATTGCATTTTCAATAAAAACTGCAGAAGAAAAATATTAAATAAATGTGGATATCTACATAAAATTATATTATAAACACACTATCCTAAAAATACAGCACCATATTTTAACACTAAAGCAGTCACTGACTCGCAACAACTTGCAATCATAAGTGACAGAGTTAATTTCGGGTAAAATCAATGAAAATTGGGTATGCCGATAGCATAAAATAAGATGTGATAGAGCAAATCTGAGATCAGATTTGGAATCAGCACCCTGAAATTAGTCTAAAACAGCCGCAAAAGTCCAGTGTTATCCACTCCGTCTATACCGGCCGCGTGGTGGTGGCAATGCGCGCTACAATTCGGCGCTGTGGAGGCAGCAGCAGCAGCGAGAGTTGATGGATCACCGCACACGCGTTGGACCCCCCCACCCGGTCTGTCGATACGGGGTTCAGAGTTGCTCCACTGGAGCAGCGTCGGGGTTTCTCCTGGCGCTTTGGTTTCGTCAACCACGTGTAAACATTGAGAGGCGGAAAACATCTGAGTGTATAGGGGACAGCAGAGCTTCGGTAATTGTTGATATCGCCGGTCCACCGCGTGGCTGCTGCGGCTTTCTCTCTCGTCTGTGGTTCATCCTCGCCTCCCTCTCTCTCTCGCTTTACGAGAGCGAGCCGATACCGTGCGGTTGGGCATCGCTATTACTCTGATCGTTATAACTGCGGCAGAAGAGGATGGACGAATGGGCGAGGAGTGAACGCGAACAGCTTTCCCGGACACCCGCGGTCTGCGCGAATCCTGCTAGAGCACAAACAAACGGCGCGTTGAGATGGAAAAGTTGGCGAACATAATTCAAAACTTCACGGCAAGATCCCAGAGACGAAATGAGAACACGGAAGGGGAGATGTCCCGCATCCTTTGTAGATGCTTGGTTCACGAGTGCGCACAATACGATCGTACGCGATGGTGTCTAGATTGCCCGAGCGGTGTGGGATACACTGCACGTAACACGCTCTATGCAATCTCTTTGATCGCACCGCAGCCAATGTAACCAACCCCGACTCCGCTGCAGGCTTCACCCCCCTCCCTCCTTCCTTCTCGCAGCCCCCCCATTCCCCACCACCACCACCAACCCTCACCAGTCCCCTCCAGCGCCGACGCAGTTACACCGCCTGCACACGCGATGGATACGCCACTGCGACCACCAATGTTGATTGCGAATTAATTGCGTCCGGAGAACAATTAAGATAACGACGCGATGGGGCATTAACATCAAAATGTTGTCGACTGTGCAGGGAGCTGGCACGGTGGTGCAATGGTGACCACACTGAAATTGACATCCAGAGGTGCGCCGGTTCGATTGCACGACCCGGCGCGGCATTTGTAATCAAGTGGGCAAGCGTCTCAAATTCACCCGCCTATGTTCACGCAGAAGTATAAATGGGTGCAACCTCGGTTAGTCGAAGGGCAGGTGGAGAGTGGTGGGGTAGAGCGTGGGTGCTCCCACCTCATCCAAGTCGTCTGGCAAAGCGTGGAAGCGTAGACAAAGCTACTCTCAAGTGGGGCCCTCTGTAGCTCTCTCTCTCGTGGGGAAACTCTTCCGCCAGCAGTGGCTCGTGGAAAGCAGTTGCAGGGCTGCGCCTTTACCGGAGGGGGGGTGGAACACGCGGCCCAGAGATCAACAAGGCAGCGACACACACGCCGTGTCCACAGCACGCGGATCCAAAACAACAGACTGTATGTGCAGGCTCGTGCACATGGGAAGTTCAATCCGCAATAAAGACGATAAATCCTCAATTCACTCGCCCCTATCAACCTCTCTCCCTTCTCATCTCACTCTACTGCCCTCTCGTCTCACGCTATTCCCCTCCACGCACTCTCCTACCTCTCCCCTCTCGACTCACTCTCCTCCCCTAAACTCACTCTCCTACCTCCCCCATCTCGTTCCACCTACTCCCCTCCACGCACTCTCCTACCTCTCCCATCTCGTCCCACCTACTCCCCTCCACGCACTCTCCTACCTCTCCCCTCTCGACTCACTCTTCTCCCCTCCACGCACTCTCCTACCTCTCCCATCTGGGCTCACTCTACTACCCTCCACACACTCTCCTACCTCTCCCATCTCGTCCCACCTACTCCCCTCCACGCACTCTTCTACCTCTCACATCTAGTCACACCTAATTCCCTCCACGCACTCTCCTACCTCTCCGATCTCGTCCCACCTACTCCCCTCCACTCACTCTCCTACCTCTCCCATCTCATCCCACCTACTCCCCTCCACGCACTCTCCTACCTCTCCCCTCTCGAGTCACTCTACTCCCCTCCACTCACTCTTCTACCTCTCCCATCTCATCCCACCTACTCCCCTCCACGCACTCTCCTACCTCTCCCCTCTCGACTCATTCTACTCCCCTCCACGCACTCTCCTACCTCTCCCCTCTCGAGCCACTCTACTCCCCTCCACTCACTCTCCTACCTCTCCCATCTCGTCCCACCTACTCCCCTCCACTCACTCTCCTACCTCTCCCCTCTCGACTCACTCTACTCCCCTCCACTCACTCTCCTACCTCTCCCATCTCGTCCCACCTACTCCCCTCCACTCACTCTCCTACCTCTCCCTTCTGGACTCACTCTACTCCCCTCCACGCACTCTTCTACCTCTCCCATCTCGTCCCACCTAATCCCCTCCACGCACTCTCCTACCTCTCCCCTCTCGAGTCACTCTACTCCCCTCCACTCACTCTCCTACCTCTCCCATCTCGTCCCACCTACTCCCCTCCACGCACTCTTCTACCTCTCCCATCTCATCCCACCTACTCCCCTCCACGCACTCTCCTACCTCTCCCCTCTCGACTCATTCTACTCCCCTCCACGCACTCTCCTACCTCCCTCTCGAGCCACTCTACTCCCCTCCACTCACTCTCCTACCTCTCCCATCTCGTCCCACCTACTCCCCTCCACTCACTCTCCTACTTCTCCCCTCTGGACTCACTCTACTACCCTCCACGCACTCTCTACCTCTCCCATCTCGTCCCACCTACTCCCCTCCACTCACTCTCCTACCTCTCCCCTCTCGACTCACTCGACTCCCCTCCACGCATTCTCCTACCTCTCCCATCTCGTCCCGCCTACTCCCCTCCACTCACTCTCCTACCTCTCGTCTCACTCTACTCCACTCCAGCAACCAAGGCTTTCCGTTGTCGCCTCCTGTCAACCGTGCTATCGACTCTCTGCCCCCCATTCAAGTTCAGGCTCAATACCTCTTTATACCTCTGCCTGTGACTGAACCTTTTTTGCCTATTCACAGCCGTGAACAGGCAAAATAGGCACATGTCAAATGTGGTTGCATTGTGGACGCTGTATAAATCCACGTCGTATTGTGTCACGGTAGAAGTGAGAGTGAGATCAGGCAAAGAATCGCGGGAGCAGATTTAACAGATTATGGGATAGGTTGTATCAACGAGGTGACGTGAATCTGGGAATACATCTGAGAGACGCCAGTGATGCAGTAATCCCAGTGATGCATGGCAGGAAACCAAGGGGCTTTACAGCGCCCAGCGAGAACCGGTCTCGATATTACTCGCGAAAATAAATCGTTCCCATGAAAACCTCGAATTACAGTGACAAATTGGAATTCCCCCCACTCCCACCACCACCCTCCTCCACGGTCTCGTTTCCAAAGTTCGTGCCCCGCTTACTCGCTTCAGTAAACGCGTAAATAGACTCGTATCTATTGTAACTTCACCCGTGCTGGTGGTTGCTGGCCGCTTGGCACTTTAACACCACCTATTTCGCCGCGCGCGTTTCCAATTCGTCGCGATCGCTTAGACTCTTAGAGCCTTAAATTATCCGAAACAATGATCGCATATCATCTCGTTAGCCCAGGCCAGCCCAGCAGGGGGCAGTCTGAGATAGCGCAGGCGAGGCCAGCGCTGCACTGCCGAGGAATGATGATGACGACGTTCAGCTCGCGAGACACCGAAACATCGTGCGCGTTGCTCGTAGTTATCTGCGTGCCGTGCCCCGCGTGTCCCTTGCGTCCCATGGCCGTGCGCTCCCCTATCCACTACGTCTCCCGTGTGCACCATGTCGCGTGTGTCCCGTGTCCCTTTAAATCCCGTGTCCCTATAAGTCCCGTGTGCCCCGCGTGTCCGTTGCGTCCCTTGCCCACTGCCCCGTGGCCCTCACGCCCCCCCGCCTCCTCCCTCCGCCCCCCATCCCGTGTGTCCCGTGTCCCTTTAAGTCCCGTGTGTCCCGTGTGCCCCGCGTGTCCGTTGCGTCTCTTGCCCACTGCCCCGTGGCACTCACGCCCCCCCCCCCCCTGCCTCCTCCCCCCGCCCCCCATCGCGCGTGTCCCGCAGAAGCCCACGCTGGAGCCCCCGCACGTGGAGGCGCACCACCGCGTGTGCTCCTACAACGAGACGCGCGCGGGCAGCGTGCGCCTCCCGGGCTGCGCGCCCCACGTGGACCCCGTGTTCAGCTTCCCCGTGGCGCTCAGCTGCGTCTGCAAGATGTGCTCCACGGACGACACCGAGTGCGAGACCTACTGACGCTGCCGCTGCCGTTGGCGCCGCGGTGGCGAGCCACTGCTGAACGAGGGCCCTCTCCGGCGCCGTGCGTCTCTACTCGTCACGGGGGGTTGCCCGTGACGGCGGCCAGACGTGGGAGCGTAGAATCGCAGTACAACAATGGATGTTGTTGTCGTTGTTGTTGCTGCACTGACCTTTTGCTGCCGACAACATAGCCCCGTGGTCGTCCGTGACTACCGTGTGTTGCGCACGGTGGACACCCATCCAAGTATCACCCCGGCTCAACCCCTGCTTAGCATCCGAGATCTGACGAGATCGGACGCATTACGGGTGAGCTGGTCACGGGCCAAAGCCCTTGGTGGACCCATGGGAGCCTCATTTTGTCTCAAGACTCTTTATCGGGATGGTCCTGCTACATTGGATGTTTGGTCAATTCCGTACTTAACGAGAGTTCGGCATCGCGTGGCGAGGACAACTTTCTATATAGGGCCGCACAGATGCATTCTAGAACGTATCGCTATACAGCCATCTCCAGGTTGCCTCGCAGGCCAAACCTGCAACGCCTGCTACTCCCAGGTGTTTTCCCATCCCAGGACGAATCGGGCTCACCACGCGAGATCTCGCGAGGTCGGGGCGCACGAAGAGCGATCTGGTCGCGCAGAGGAGCTGGAACTGACACGGGAAGGGGGGGGAGCGGCGGCGAGGGGCCACGTGGACCGAAGAAGCGCGCGTGGGAATCTTTGAGCCGAAACGCCGCGACGTGCTGCTGTGCTAGACGGGAGATGGTTTCAGAGGGACGGGAGAGAGAGAGAGAGCGAGAGCGATGGGAGAGCGCGCGACACGGGATGCGAGGGCGATGAGCGAGACAGCGAGGATGTAAATTATTGGCGACGCGTTAATGAGAGGAGCCACTCTCGATCACCCCCCCGCCCTCTCCCCTACGGCGCCTCCTTCTCCACAAACACTCCCCCCCACCCCCATCCATCCATCGGGGGGTACGGGACTGAACGAGCGAAGATGCTCGAAGCCAGGCAGGCGGCAAGGTGAGGTCACCCGAGATCAGGCGGTCAGGGTCAAGGTCAACCGGTCACGGTCACCTGCCCAAGGTTGACACCTGGGACCAAAACGGATTCCCTTGTTGTTTTGAAGTTACATAAATGAATTAGCAATAATAATTATAATAAAATACCGCCCTTTGTCCATCCACTGCTGAGTGAAGGCCTACCGCACGTCGTCTCGATCGCAGAGGTTGTTTGACCATACTTCACCCGCGCTGGTCAGTGCGGGTTTCACGAATGGAGGGGGCCCAGGACAGGTACGGATAAATCAGTTCGACGCTGCTACTGTCCCCGTAGCCGGAAACCAAACGCGGTGTGACGGATTTGCAGCGCAGCGCGCTCACCTCCGCGCCTCCACTCCACAACGAGAGGGCTTCAGGAGAGAGAGTTAGTGTCGTCTTGCTGTTCCTCGTCCGTTGAAAGAGCGCAGACGACAGTGGCTTACTGCACGGTCTCTGTCTAGCTCTATGAGTCGCTGTGTGTCTCTGTAGGATTACTGTATGGCTCACAGTTGGGGCAGCATGGACAAAGTCGCACTGCCGTGGCTTGTGCCCTTTAATTTCCCTTTGATGAATGAGATGTGCGTATCGGCCCGGCGATGTTCTCATGCGGTTGATGGTTATACACCCTCAGCGTCTTCGATGAGGTGGAGGAGTGTGCAAGCCTGGAGGAGGAGCGATATTTTCTAAAAATAAGTTAAGCAAATGACTTCACTCGTCATCCTTGCAGGAATGAAATTGTCCTGTTCTCGCGATCGCTGCGTGCTCAACACATTCGTCTAAACGAGAGTTTATATTAAAACAAAACAAAGACGCGCAACAATCTTGCGCCGCGTCTGCGTTTCGTGTGCCTTTAAACGTGGCGTCGATATTTTGTTTCTTCTTCAACCCGATGTGTTGACAAAGCCAACGAAACTTTCGCTCGAATGCATTCTCGGTGACGCCGGGGATCGCTCACTTCGCCGTGGAACTCGGTGACCTCAGTTCGATTCCCGTCCCCCAGGACCGGTTCAACAAACACAAATAGGGACGTATCAAGTCTGAATAATCGTGAATAGCCCATTGAGTCTCTCTCGCCCCCCTATTGGGTCTGCATTTCCCTTGTCTCATCTCACCACGTATCTTGTCTAGTCTGCATCTGTTGTCTAAACTGTAGCTCTCGCATCTCACCAGCGCTGTTCCATCTGCATCTCGCTTCTATCAGCTCACGACATCTCCACATCTTTGTCTTGACAATTAAGCAAATTAGTTGGCGCTTTTGCGTTGGCAGTGGTGCACAAGCACATTGGGCGACGTTTCGGGCAACGGCCCTTGGTCCTTGTACACATATCTTGTCAATATCTCTTCTCACACCTCACTCGGAGTTTTTGGGCGGTACAGCACCCCAGCGACTCCCCCCTTACCCCCCCCCCCCCCACTTCTGCCTCACCCCCCTCCCTCACCCCCCTCCCTCACCCCCCCCTCACCCCCACTGCTGAACAGCACTGAAACAGCTGCACGTGACCGTGCCCCTGTAGGCTAATGATCCTCGCCTTGTATTAAATTGTGATATACTGTACGTAGCATATATTATATACTGTATGGAGACTATATTAACCCGGCTCTTTTTGTGAAAGTGAGCCCACGCCTGTTTGTACATTTGCTGTTGTTGTTGTTTTAAATAAAGGAGTAAGACCAAGATCCCACGCATAGCCGACACAGACTGTTGGAGGAATTGCTGTTAGCGAGCGCCGAATTCATGTCGGCACAACACACGAAGGGGTGGGTGGGCCAGCACCACGCCTGGCCGCCTTTGTCTCCCCGGTGCCCATGTCCACACACCGCACCAGGCACTCGTTTAAAGCTGAGTTGACCTTGGCGGATGGCCTACGACCGGTTCAGATATTTCTCACCGACGTTGGCTGTGAGCGAGAATCGAGGTCGGGTCGCCGGGTTCGTAGCTCAGTGCGCTAACCACTGCGCCACCGCTCTAAAGGAGCGAACACAACGCCGCTTGGGGCGAGTACGGGCGCGGCTAAGATTGCCAGAGAGCGGTGGTGCAGCGGTTAGCGCACTGCACGGCCAAATCATTAATGAGTGTGTACTTCAAATGTGTGATTTACTGTATGTGCGAGGGGGAAACACTTTATCCCGTACAGATTGAACAAGTGGAGTCCACATTTTTATGTACCGTAAACCGCTTTCTCATCGCGGGCCACTGGATGGGAGTTTCACGGCATTCTTGTGATGACCCACCAACCCTCGCTGCCTCAACAGCGCGAGATTGCAGGCCACGTGCGAAGCCACCACCGCTCGGCTCACGACGATGGTGATGGTCATGATGATGTTGACAGCGGTGATGATGATGATGTTGAAAACGACGGTGATTATATTTGAAACGATGAACGTATGGACAGCTTCGCCCACCGCGAAAGGAAACTTCCTCCACTCGTCGTCATCACAACCTTCATCGTCGTCATCATCATCATCCTCCTCCTCATCACCCCCCTCCTCGGACCCAGCAGAGGGGGCAACTGAGCCCCCCCCTCTCCCCCGACCCTCCACATCGCCGTCTGCGCCATCGCGATTGGAGTGCGATGCCATTAATTGAAGTAAACACGTGATGAATTAAAGTGGAGTTGATGCTGTGTCTTGAGTTAATCTAAGTGAATTCGTGATGAATGAAGGCGCCCAGGCCGCGCGGGATCGAGTCCAGGGTTTGCTGAAACCCCTTTTTACCGACGGTCTCTACTGGCCCCCCGTCATAAGAATGTGGAATTTCCACCAACGGCTCAGCAGTGCCGCTGAGCACCGAACCGTTTCGTTTGCGTTCCGTGGTGACTTTGATGGTGTCTCTTCTAATCCCCTTCTGATTGCGCTCTCGGCGTCGTGCCTCGCGATGCAGACGTTGCCGCTCGTAGCCGTAGCGGTTAAGCAGTGCACCACCCTGTGTTGAGGAACATACGGCCCCGGGAAGGTGAAGTCTCCATCGGAAGAACTGCCCCTGAAGTCCCTTGACTCGGCCCCTTCGTCCACACTCGGGGCGCTGCGCATTTCTAACTCGAACTTACTTGCGTGGAGGAAAAACAAAAATAATAATCGCCTCGTTCCTCCGACGTCATCCTGAAGGCGCAATCGGTGTCACCTCCAGAGATGAGCGAATCCATTTGGAACTCTCGCCCAGCCGATGCAGTTGCTGCTTTGCCGCGCGGAGACTGGCGACTCGCCCCGCGTCGAGATGTCGGTTTAGACCACGAAGCGGGTGACACCCGGATTCGAACCCGGGTGCTCAGCTGTTCCAGCTGTAGCAATTATGAACCACCCCCCCCCCCCCGTGAGGTGCGTGTCCACCGCTGCCAATGAGAGTAGAGCATCGCCCACTGCCGGAGCTTATTATATTTATGTAAAAATTAATTATTCTCATTTATTTATCCAGGAGAGCCACAGTGAGTCGTGGGACTATTTTTCAAAAGGGTCCAGCGAGAGCGGCGTTTTTATTCGTGAGATTGTTTTCAGCCAATTCACGATGCGCTGTGTTTATTTGCCACGTGGGAGGCGGAAACCGGAGCACGCGGAGAAACCCCACGCTTTGCTGCGAGGGCACAACGCCCTGTCCTCGTACAGATGGCAACAGATGGCGATTAGTCCACTTGGTGTTTCGCCTCTTGCTGGCGAGCCAGGGTATAGCACCTCTTCCACGACCCCCACGGGAAGGGAGTTTCGCTACGTCTTGGTGTGGCAATCCACCACCAACCCTCGCTGCGCTGGAGGATCACAGACCACGTGCACAACCACGTGACAGAGCGGTGGAGCAAAGGGCGCCACCACCAACTCTGCCACCCAAGATCGATTCCCGGCCACGGCTTAGATCAGTGGTGGGTGATACCTGAGCAAGTGCTGCCCCACTCCCCACCACGCCGGCTCCAACCTCTAATGCCCCCCCACTTCCCCCCACCTCCTCCTGCCTTCACCACCGCTCAGTAAGTAGCATGGGCAGCCCTTTCTTTATTCAGCTGTGTATTGACAAGAGCTGTAAATTGTATTGTGTCGTTAATCCAGACCAAATACAGATTAAATAAACGGTGAATAAATAAATAGTTCGCGAATCCAGCGGATTACAGAGGCACTGCTGTCCGTGCCCTCGGCTGAGGCCACTTAGAGAGAGTGCCCGCGTGGTCATCCCACACCAACACACACCTCATCCACAGAGCCACACCTCATCCACAGAGCCACACCTCATCTACAGACCCACACTTGCTCCACAGAGTCACACCTCCTCCACAGACCCACACTTGCTCCACAGAGTCACGCACCTCCTCCACAGACCCACACTTGCTCCACAGAGAAACCCTTCCTCCACAGAGCCACACTTCATCTACAGACCCACACTTGCTCCACAGAGTCACACCTCCTCCACAGAGTCACACCTCATCCACAGACCCACACTTGCTCCACAGAGTCACACCTCATCCACAGAGCCACACTTACTCCACAGACTCACACTTGCTCCACAGAGTCACACCTCCTCCACAGAGTCACACCTCCTCCACAGAGCCACACCTCATCCACAGACCCACACTTGCTCCACAGAGTCACACTTGCTCCACAGAGTCACACCTCATCCACAGATCCAAACCTCCTCCACAGAGTCACACCTGCTCCACAAACCCACACATCATCCACAAACTCACACTTGCTCCACAGAGTCACACCTCATCCACAGAGTCACACTTCCTCCACAGAGTCACACCTGCTCCACAAACCCACACCTCCTCAACAGGCGCACCTCCTCCACAGAGCCACACACCTCCTTACACAGACTAACGCCTTGCACCCCCCCCCCCCCCGTATACCTCCGTTACCAACCCCACGACTCATCCCGAACCTTCTCCAACCCCTCCCCCCTCCTTCTCCACCCTCCACGCCAGCCCCTCCCCCCTGGCGCTCCCTGTCAAATTATTCTCGCGGCCTCACGCAGGCGAGCTGCTGTCAAGCCCCGTGCTCTTGCACGTGCGCGGTAGTGCAGCTGCACGCGTGCAGGCGTCGTGCAGCAGTCAGGCGGTGCACGCATTTGTTCGTGCAGCTGCGCGTGCCGTGCCCCGAGTGCAAGCGAGCAGCGATAGTGCAGCCATGTAGGACTGCAGGATTCACATTCGCGCGGTGGTTGAACGTGAAACCCTGCGTCTGTGCTGAAACGCAATCGTGCAGCAATGCAACAGTGGAGGAGGTGCAGCTCCGCGTTATTGCAGCTGTACAACATCGCAACTGCGCAGCGGGGGTTGCGATTAGCACGGTTGGCTATGTACGGTGCGATAAAAGTTCAACATGCATGGGCAGTAGTGTAGCCGTGCGGTACATCAGCTCAGTATCTCTGTAACGACGCAGTGCAGCCGTGCAACAGCTGTGCACCATTGCATCTTCTGCGCGCGTGCATCCGTGTGTCTGTTGCATTCTTGTAAATTATCCAGTAGTGCAGCAGTCTAGTTGCACAACACCCCGCAGCCGTGCTGCGCCAGTGCAGCAGTGCAGCAGCAGTGCGGCCTCACAGCCCTCACGATGGGGGAGCCGCGGAGCAATGCAGACACGCGGTCCCCTGAGAGTAGCGCACAGCAGCCTCGATCCGTTCCTTGTCCCCCCCCCTCACCTCTTCCACAGCCCCCCCACACCCGCCTCTCCACAGCCCCCCAACCGGCTAGCCCCCACCCCTCTTTTACCCCCCCCACCTTCCCCCCTGCCCCTCCCCTCTCGCCTACATCATCTCGGGAGCTCGGATCCCTGCAGGGGCCGTGGGACGCGGGCGGCGGGGAGTTGGAGGTGCCGCGGTTTCAAGGGTCTGAGAGGGGTGGGGCGGGGGTGGAGCGCGTAAGACGAGGAGTGGCATGGGGATGGGGATGGTTACCGAGGTGAACAAGAGGATGGGAGGGAAGATGACGAGGTGATGAGGTGAGAGGGAGGTAATGAGGGGTGGGGGGAGGTGAGTGAACTGGGTGGCAGGTGAGAGGATGAGGAGGTGAGGGGAAGAGGAAGGCGAGAGGGGGTGGCAGTGGAGGTGGGGTAAAGGGGAAGGGTGGGAGACGCTTCTCCCTCCCATCCAATCTCATCGCGCTCCGCTCACAGCGCGCACGCCGGATATAATCACTCCCATCGCCGCGCTCCATCCAATTACGAGAGACAACCGCGCGCGGCCGGGGCTCTCAACCCCGAGACGCGACCCTCAGCCGCCGCCTCGCGGGACACGTCCGCGGGCGGTCCCTACCGGGGGTGGGGGGGTGTGTGGGGAGGTGCTGCCGAACCGTTGGCGTCAGTCGCAGTCGGTGATCAGGGTGGGTTGGGAAGGGGGGGAGGTTCGGCACGGGCTTCCGTGGTCTCCTCTGCACGCGGCCAGGGATGCTCGCCTTCGCCGCACGCCGAGACCCGCGTCCTCGCAGCGCAGCCCCGCCAGCCCGCCAGCCCCGCCAGCACCGCCGCCGCCACCGCCGCCGCCGTCTTCCTGCCACCCCCGCAGGATGCCCGGGGGGCGCAAGGGTCTGGTAGCCCCCCAGAACACCTTCCTCGACAGCATCGTGCGCCGCTTCAGCGGTAACTCGCTCGTGCGCGCGGCGGGGGGAGGGGGTCCCCAGCGGGGAGCTCAGAGGCGTCTCTATCTGTGCACGCTACCCCCCCACCCCCCCACCACCATCGCTAACTTATTGTGAGCCCCTCAACACACATTGTGTCGATGTACGCTCCTCTTTGTCCCTACCATCGAGTCCGTCTCCGTGTCTCCACCTGCGAATGCCTCTCTTCGCGTCTCTCTCTCTCTGCATCTTTGATCCTCTGAGTATCTATAACGGTGCCCATATTCTCGTCTCCCTCGCTGAGTGTGGGTGCTGCCTTGCCTGTGTCTCTCCGCGGGCGTCTGTATTTATCTGTGTGTCTGCGTCTCTGTGTGAGTGTGTGTATGTGTCTCTCTTTGTGTGGGGAGCGGTCGTGTAGCGGTTAGCACGCTGCGCTACAAACCTGACGACCCGGGTTCGATTCCCACTCGCGGCCAACACCAGTGACAGCGATTATCTAAACCGGTCCTGGGCCGCCCCTAGGTCGACTCAGCCTCAAATGAGTACCTGGTGCGATGTGTGAACATCGCCACTAGAGAGACACTGGTGTTGGCCGCGAGTGGGAATCGAACCGTGGTGTTGGCCACCCACCCCTTCGTGTGCCGTGCCGGCCTTCATAGGTGCTCGCTGACAACACTTTCCCCTACAGTCTGTCAAGGCTATACGGGGGATCTTTGTCTCTCTTAGTCCCCGTGCAACCCGCTGTGTCTTTTGTCTCCTCCGATCTATCTCTGAGTCTCTGACTGGGTGCACATCTCCGTGTCGTGTATGTCAGTAGAACTTCTTTCGCACCGTACGGAGCCAACCATGCTCATCTTCTATCAGTCTCTGTGTCTGTGTTTCTCCGTGTCGCTCCCATTGTCTCTGTGTGTGTGCGCGTGTCTCTCTCCGTGTCACCGTCTCTCTCTGCCGTTCTCCGCACCGCGCCAGAACTACCACAGCAACTCGCGCAGCGCTCACGGGCGCTCAACCGACCGCCTTTGTTTCCCTTCCAACCCCCCCCCCCCCCAGTCTGAAGGGTGTGAGTTCAAATTCAGGCCGTGATCTCTCCCTAGGTCGCTCAAATGAGTGCCACTCGTAACTCAAAGGAGAGTCAGGTGAGATTGCTCGTGCAGTCTCCCGCAGGCTGGCGTCGCTGTCATCGCTTTTGCCGAGCACCTTTAAGGGGGCAAGGATGGGGGGGGGGGTGACCAGCATGACACCTCGGCGGCCTTTGTCTCCCCCCCCCCCCACTAATGACATTCACCACCAGGCACTCATTTTAATGCCGAGGCGACCTAGGGGAAAGCCGATGTCGGCCGTGGCTGCAGGCAATCTAGCTCAGGTAGCCGGGGTTCGTAGTGCAGTGCGCGAACCACTGCGCCACTGCTCCCGAACCTACGCTACGCACACGCACATATATATGCGTGTCGCCCCCCCCCCCCCCCCTGACCTCTCCCCCTCACAGACACTGACCTCCTCTTGGGCAATGCCCGCATCGTGGACTGGCCGATCGTTTACTGCAACGCGGGGTTCTGTGGCCTCTCCGGATTCCAGCGCGCAGAGGTCATGCAGTGCAACAGCACATGCAGGTGCTCACTCACTCGACCCCCCCCACCCTTCATCCAAACCACCCCACTCTCCCGTCCCCCAAATCAGTTCTACTTAACAGGGAATGTTGTTTGCGATGTTGGCGAAAATTACGAATCATCTGGAAAAATTAAAGGTTTGTAAAAATAAATAATTTGTAACGTCGCGATCGTCAGCGCGGAGGCGCGCGCGTGAGATCGTCACTCGCCGTGGCGGAAACTCCCAGTGAGCAAGCACATAGACGAACACATAAACATGCGATGCACACGTTAACACATACATGCGGTACATATGCAGAGATGGAAGCGTCTTGCTCTGCCTTGTCGCAATAATTACGCATGCGGACATAAAGGGGTGGCAGATGAACGAATTAATATTTCGCTCGATGTATTTATGAAGAAATGAGCAGCTAGAGTGATGAGTGCCGACGTTTAGCAGCACGGGGTTTGAAAGAAGATGAGAATGGTAATGAGTTTCAGAGTTTAGCAGCCCTCCAAACCGACCCCCTTCCCTCACCCCCCTCCCCGCCCCAGCTTTATGTATGGCGACCTGACGGATCGGGGCACCATCGAGAGCGTGAGGAGATCGTTCGAGAACCACGAGACCAACTCGTTCGAGATCCTCATGTACCGCAAGAACCGTGGGTGCCGCGGGGATGAGTCCCCTCCAGCTCCCCCCTCCTCCTCCTTCTCTCCCCTTGCTCCAGCTCCCCTCCTCCAGCTCCCCTCCTGCCCTCTCCCCTTGCTCCAGCACCCCTCCTCATCTTCCCCTCTCCTCCTCTAGACCCCTCCTCCTCCTCTCCCCTGCTTCCCTCTCCAGCTACTCCCCTCCTCCTCCCCTCTCCATATGCTCATCTCCCCTCCTAGACTCCTACTCCCCTCCCCTCTCCCCTCCTCCACTCCCCTCCCCAGCTCCCCTCCTGCCCTCTCCCCTTGCTCCAGCACCCCTCCTCATCTTCCCCTCTCCTCCTCCTCCTCCTCTAGTCCCCCTCCTCCTCCTCCCCTCTCCCCTTGCTCCAGCTCCCTCCTCCAGCTCCCCTCCTGCCCTCTCCCTTGCTCCAGCCCCTCCTCCTTCCCTCTCCTCCCCTCTAGTCCAACTCCTCCTACTCCCCTTCTCCCTCCTCCTCCTCCCCCTCTCCCCTCTCCCTCCCCTTCCCAACTCCCGACCTCCCCCCCCCCTCCTCCGTCCTACCATGCTCTCTCACCTCTTTCGCGTCTCATTCACTCGTCTCCACCAAAACCCATGGCCGCAACGTGGCGCCGAGGAGGCCTTGGGCTGCAAATCGCTTCGAGCCGAAAGGGCATGGCCCAAGAAGACCCGCGAGTGAACATGTGTAGTGTTTATTCTTTGTGTCTTTCGGTAGTAAAAAAAATAGGTAAAAATGTATACAAATAAAATAAAAAAAAACTACGACAACTATCACAACACAACACAAGCGATCGTCATCAGGAGGAAAACAGAGGGGGGAAGCTGCTAAAAACAGACTTTTAAAAACAGTCGTAGTTTTTTGTTTATTTTATTTTTATAAATTTGAACCTATCTACATGACTTTACCGAAAGACCCAGAGAATATGAATTCCTGCAGTCACGAAAGCTATAAGTCAAGATTTATGCGTAGTATATATATGTGTGTGTGATTCCTGGTTGACCTTCACATGTGCTTGCTAACAGCACTTTGCCTTGCAGTCTGCGTAGCCTACACAGAGATCTTTGGCTCTGTACGTGCTATATACATATTTTATGAGCTAGATATAACGTATAGTAAGGATCTCGGCGGAGAAGGTCCATGGGTCGGTCACCCTTCCCACGCGCTGCTCGAGTATCAGCAGAAACACGAATTCACCTCCGCACTCCATGCATCCCCAGGCACACACGCGCGAACACAACACGCACACACGCGCGTTACGGAAACACACGGAGACTTCAAACTGAGCCGTGAGACTCGGTCAGGCTTTTCCGGCTCGGCACGTTAACCTAATCGTATTTTCCCCAATGAGCTACGCAACGTCAGCATCGATTTAAAAAAAATCGATGCTGACGTTCGCAATTCCCCGTATGGAATCGTGGCTGTGTGCAACGTGAGTGGGAGAGAAGGGGGGGGGGGTGGGTGGTGGTGCCTCCCGTGGGTGGGAGCCGCCGTGGGAGTCACGGGTCCAGACCTGGGATTGTAGTCGTGGGTGGACGCTCTGGTGGGGGCGCTCTGAAGCCCGTTGTTGGGTCTAATAATTAAATAACAGGCGCGAGAGCGAGTTACTCCCCGCAAGCACCCAATCCCCACTCCCTCCCTCCCCTCTACCTTGCCCCCCCCCCCCCCCGCCCTGCAGGCACTCCCGTGTGGCTCCACATGCAAGTGTCCCCGGTGCGCAACGAGTTGAACGAGGTGGTGCTCTTCTTGAGCATCTTCCGGGACATCACCATCTTCAAGCAGCCCATAGAGGATGACAGCAGGGGTAAGGAACCCCTACCCCCTTCCCCCACGTCCTGCATCACGCCCCAAGACACACGCACCTCCAACTCCCCGTGCCCCCACGATCCTATACCATTCCAAACGATGCCCGGGCCATTCCAGGCCACGCGTGACCCGAATGAACGGGTGCTCACTCATCATCGTCATCACGACGAGTGAGTGGGTGACGTGACGGGTGATGTACGAAGAGGTGGCGGTGATGTCACGGATTTCGTGATGTGTCACTTTAACACGTGGGCTTTCGCGAATCAATATTATTCATAATAAAGGTGTTTTGGGTTAGATCGCGTCAATAAAAATGTGTCGTAAACCCTCCACCACCCGACGCAGCCAATTAGTAAGGGATTTGTCACGTTAACAAAACGCCACTTAGTTGCGATGTGTGATGCACGAAATGACCGAGCGATGCCATGCGAAGCCGGGGAGGCGGCGGGCAGGGGGGGGAGGGGGGGGAGTAACGCGCTGCCTGATGCGGTGACAGTGATGGCATGTGCGTGAACGCGACGGTATGCGTCGCGTTATCGTCGCAGGGTGGGCCCGCTTTGCCCGCCTCACCCGGGCCCTCGCCACGAGCCGGAGCGTCTTGCACCAGCTCAGCACCAGCGGGGCGCGCGGGGAGGCGGCGGGAGCCAAGGGACTCCGCACGGCCGAGGTGGGAGCTGTCCCTTTCAGCACCACGGTGGTAGTCAGTCCCACGAGCCGGATTCTCTGCGGTCACAGTGCCGTCATGGAATGACACCGTTTTGAAAAGCTATAGTTTGCGTGTTTGTGTGTAAACCACCGATATATACACGTGGAGCGATGTAAGTGAGAAGGCGCTTTGGGGGGGAGTTTGTAAGTCGCGGCTGTGCACCACCACAGCTGCCCGTGCACGTGCTCTCGCGGTCACGACGCGCCGCGGTTCTCCTGCTCTCCAGTACGCACGAGGCGAGTGTCTCAATGAGAGTGTTGCCTTATTAACTAGGAATGTGTGTCTGTCTGCCTGCCCATCCCGCCGTCCGTATATCTGCACGTGTGTCTACCTGGCTGTCCGTTTATCTACCTATTCATCCGTCAGTTTTTTCACCCGTCTATCCATCCATCCGTCTGTCTGTGTCCGATCGTCTGTGTCTGTCTGTCCATCCGTCTGCCTGTCCGGCTGCTTTCTTGTTCTTTCCATCTAACTCTATAACCGTCACCACTTCTGTTGTCCGCCTGCTATTGTTCGCCCACCACCTCTCCGCCTACTGCACGCAGGTCGTCCAGCTGAACACCGAAGTGCTCCCCGCCTACAAGCAGGAGGCTCCCAAGACCCCTCGTAACATCATCCTCCACTACTGCGCCTTCAAGACCACGTGGGACTGGCTCATCCTCATCCTCACCTTCTACACGGCCATCATGGTGCCCTACAACGTCTCCTTCCGCACGCGGCAGAGCAACGTGGCGTGGCTCGTGGTGGACAGCGTGGTGGACGCGATCTTCCTGGTGGACATCGTGCTCAACTTCCACACGACCTACGTGGGCTCCGCCGGGGAGGTCATCTCGGACCCGGCGCTCATTCGGACAAAGTATCTCAAGACGTGGTTCCTCATCGACCTGCTCTCCTGCCTGCCCTACGACATCATCAACGCCTTCGAGAACGCCGACGAGGTAGTCTATCGCGCATGACGAGGTGGTTTGGAGCGCATGACGCGGTGGTCTGGAGCGCATGACGAGGTGGTCTGGAGCGCATGACGCGGTGGTCTGGAGCGCATGACGAGGTAGACACCACTACACAGTACAGTACAGCTCGGCCACCGATGGATTCTTGACTCCCCCCGCCTGTGCGCAGATCCACCCTCACATAGGTGGTGAGGTTTGTTTTCTCCTTCCCGATACTCATCAATAGCCATGTCTTCCCGCATCCCGTCTCCTCCCATGACACCACCGCAGCCTCCACTCACCATCACCTCCTCTCACAGTCGTCGTCGGTGGGCCGGGCGGCAGCGCGCTCGCCACTCGTCGCGGAGGCGTTCGCGGTGTTTGTCTTCCGCTCAGGGCATCAGCAGCCTCTTCAGCGCCCTCAAGGTGGTGCGGCTACTGCGCCTGGGCCGCGTGGCGCGCAAGCTCGACCACTACATCGAATACGGCGCCGCCGTGCTCGTGCTGCTCGTGTGCGTGTTCGGCCTCGTCGCGCACTGGCTCGCCTGCATCTGGTTCAGCATCGGGGACGCGGAGGCGGCGCGCGAGTACGGGTGGCTGCACCAGCTGGCGCACAGCGTCGGGCAGCCCTACCGCTACAGCCACGCCAACGGGAGCGTCGCTGACGCCGCCGCCGCCGCCGCCGCTACGACGACCACCTCCACCTCCCCGGCTGACACCTCCATCACCGGCGCCGCGGGTGCGGTGGAGGGCGGCGGCAGTGGGCGCTGGGAGGGCGGCCCTTCCCGGCGCACGCTGTACGTGTCGGCCCTGTACTTCACGATGAGCAGCCTCACGAGCGTGGGGTTCGGCAACATAGCGCCCAACACGGACGCCGAGAAGATGTTCGCTGTGGCCATGATGATGATCGGATGTGAGTGATGCCCGTGGAGCGCAGTAGCGTCATCTCCTGCGGTCTGCGGTGTGGGTGGTGTGGGGTGGGGCGCGCGCGTTAACGTCAGCACTGGAGAGACAAAGGTGGACGGGCGTGGTGTTGGCCACTCACCCCCTCGTGTGCCATGCTGGCCTTCATTGGTGCTCGCTAACAGCACTTGCCCCAGCAACTGTTGGAGGTTATACGGGGGGTCTTTGTCTTTGCTGGGGGGAGCGGTGGAACGGTGGTTGGCGCGCTGCGCTAATAATCTGGCGACTCGATTTTGATCCTTGCTACGGTTAACTTCTGAATGAGAACCGGGTCTCCCCTAGGTCGATTCAGCATAAAATAGTGTCTGGTGCAGTGTGCAAACATCAGCACTGGAGAGACAAAGGCGGCCGGGCGTGGTGCTGGCCACGTCACCCGCTACTGCACCTCCCCAACTTTAACAACTGCTCGCTAACAGGACTTGCCCTCACAGTCTATATTGTTTTACAGGTAATCTTTGCCAGCGTCTGTGAGCGGTTACATGGAATATCTGAGCATTAAATTTCCCTCAATTCATAATTTATATCACCAAAGTGAAGGGGTGAATCACTTACGGTATTTTATGTAGCATCCACTGATGCGTGTGGGGTGGGGTGGGGGTAGATCTGGCACGTGTGTGTGTGTGTTGGGAGGGGTAACGAGTGTTGTGTGTGAGGGGTCTCGTGTGTGTGTAGTGTTGTCTAGTCATGAGCGCACAGAACTATGAAACTGAAGACCTGAGTTCGATTCCAGATCACGACCAATAACAGCGGCGTACATTTGAACGACGTTCGTGGGCCTTCCCTAGGTCGACTCATCCTTGATTGAGTACCTGGATTGGTGTGTAAACATCAGCACTGGGGAGACGAAGGCGGACGGGCGTGGTGCTGGCCACCCACCCCCTCGTGTGCCGTGCCGGCCTTCATGGGTGCTCGCCAACAGTCTGTTATAGAATACTCTTAGGTTTTTCGGTGAAGTCACGTAGATAAAAAATAAACAATAAATAATATAATTGCAAAAAATTATAGAAATAAAATAATAAATCACAGGACTTTCCTACAGGCTAAATGGAGGATCTTTGTGTGTGTGGGGAGCAGTGGTGTTGTGGTTGGCGCACTGCGCTACGAACTCGGGCGACCCGAGTTCGATTCCCGCTCAGGACCGATAACACCGGCGAATATTTAAACCGGTCCTGGGCCTCCCCTAGCTCGACTCAGCCTTCAATGCGTACCTGGCGCGGTGTGTAAAACATCAGGATTGGGGAGACAAAGGCGGACTCGCTCGGTTCTGACCAATCACTGCCTCGTGTACCGTGTCGACTTCCATAGGCGCTATGAATGCCGACGCGTGGATGGGTGGATGGGGGGGGGGGGGTCTTGGGGGGGGGGAGGGCGGGCGAGATGAGATCTTGAACCAGGCGCCAAAATGTCTCGAGCTAAAACTGCCCGTAGGACAATCTGTGTATCTCTGTGTCCGTCCGTCTTGTCTGTTAGGATCTCGCTCGAGGTAAGCGGTGGGGGAAGAGAGAGGGGGTGGGGGGAGCAGGGGGATACGAGGTGCCGTGGGAATTCTTCTCGTCTCTGACTTGCATTTCGCTTCTCTTCCATTACCGTGCATTAGCAGCCCGACCTCACGTTGCTGACAACTCAATATTCAGCAGCGGTTAAATCTTCTCCTTTATAATTTGAAGGGGGAAAAAAAGTCTCGCGTAAGAAAGACGGACCACACCGGCCACCACCCGCACGCACTGCACACGAGAGGCACACGCGGGTTGTGATCCCAACCGCGAGCTCCACACGCATCCCCAACCTATTCCCAGAGGTCCCGCGCACAAAGGGAAAGACCCCCCTCCCCCCCCGTCTAGCCTTCAACAGACATTTGGGGCAAGTGCTACTAGCGGGTAGCGCCTGTGAAGGGGGTTGGGGTGGCCACCATCACGTCGCGGTCGCTTTTGTCTCGACGGTGCTAAATGTGTACACGCCGCGACAGGCACTACTCAATTAAGGTTTAGATAATCGTCACAACGCGAGCGGGGGATCGAACTCGGTGCCGCCGGGTTCGTAGTGCCGCGCGCTAACCACACACAGACACGCGCCGTAACAACGGGACTGCGACAAATGGCGACGTGCTTTAATTGCAAGGGAAAGAAAATCAATAACCCAAGGAACGTCAATCAACCGCCCATATTATCGCAGTCTGAGCTCTTGCTAACGCCGGAAGATTCCCGGAAGTGTACTCATGCGAAACGTCGGACAAAAGCTGTCAAATTCTGCTGGCTTTCCGAACGTTACCGGTTTTGCTGAAAAACCAAAATCTATTTCTGTATTTGTCCACGTGATCAGTTCATCAGCTTGGCTGTGTCGGGTGGCGGAGAGTGCACATCTGTAGTTGACATTGACACCGAGACACGCGCTCTCTCACCCAGAAACAAAATCATTTTTTTGAATCCGTCCATATCCAGGTGGATGAACGCACACACTTTCCGATGCCAGTTTGTTCCACGTGTCCCGGTCTGTCTCGGGGGGTCTCTCCCGACCGTCACGTCGCTCCCTCCTCGTGTCTCAAGAGCGCACCTCGCCCTTCCTCTACAGAGAACTCGCTCCGTGAGGCTGATTGCTCCGTTCGACGTGAAACTCACTGCCTTGCTGATGGTTGCTGCTGCGTTCGCTGTGGTCCAAAGGCGCGGTCAACCAGAACAGCAACTCGGCACACTGTTTGGGAAAACATTTATAAATATTTATATATAAAGGACCATTCCTCAAAACGTCGAATTGGCGGTCTGTCGTGGTGTTTGTATTATCGGTATTGCTGCACGGTGGTGGCGGTGGTGTTTGTGGCGCTTGGGACGTCGGTAGTTGTGCTGGTCGTGGTGGTGAACGTGACGATGATGGAGGCATTGATGGTGGTGGTGGTTGTGACTTTGATGGTGGTGGTGGTAGTGTTGGTGGTGACGGTCGTGACGGTGGTGGTGGTCGTGACGGCGATAGTGGTGGTTGTTTTTTGTGGTGGTGACGGTGGTGGTGGTGATGATGGTGTTGGTGGCTAAAACACAATCGACACCTCTGCCGGGAGTCAAACCCAGACGGCTCCCCCCACTAAGCATCCCCGACTCCGCCCCCCGCCCCCTCCTGGCCGTGTCCCGCAGCGCTTCTGTACGCAACGATCTTCGGAAACGTGACGACGATCTTCCAGCAGATGACAGCGAGCACGAACCGCTACCACGAGATGCTGACGAGCGTGCGCGACTTCCTGCGGCTCCACCATGTACCGCGCGGACTCAGCGAGCGCGTCACGGACTACATCGCCTCCACGTGGTCCATGTCCCGCGGCATCGACACGGACAAGGTACGGGGTTGGGGCGGGGAGGAAGAGAATCGCAGCAGCGAGGAACTCGTCCCAAGAGGCTCGGATAGGTTTTGTGTTTTTTTTATCCTTTGTATTAAGTTCACTTGCTTGCTTGCTTGCGCGCTTACGACCGTGCAAATCTTTCGGTCGTTTTTTAACCCACTTCCCGTGATCCAGTTGAGCTGACATTTTGCACACAGACTCGTTGTGCGTGACAATTTATTTGCGTGAAATTTTTTTCCAAAATTTTCCACTTTTTAGGGGAAAAAAATTTCATATTTTATTTAAAATACCAATGTGATAAAAATGAAACTCTTACTCAAGAAAAACAGAAATGAATAATCAAATAAAACCGATGCCACGCATATAAAGGATTTATGGTGAGAAACTTTGTTTTTACGGGTTAATTTTTTTGTGATCACGCACGACCGGTCCCAGAGGGTGTATAGACCAGCTTGGTCCACCGACCAGCGGGTCTCCGAGCGCATGAGTTATCTGTTCACATATTCTTGGGTTTTTTCGGTAAAGTCACGTAGGTAAAAAATTAATTAAAATAAAACAAAAATCACGACGTTTATTTTCATTTTCATTTTTTACCTACGTGACTTTACCGAAAAAACCCAAGAATATGAATCCTTGCAGTCACGAAAGCTTCAAATCTAGAATTATGTGTTCACTGCCCGGGCTGACGAGCGTCCAGTGCCCTTCCCCCTCTCAGCCTGTCACTTGGCCGCCTCTCTCCTTGAATTGACTCATCCCCACTGCCTCCGTACTGCGTATTGAGATGCGGTCGCAGTTAGACGATGCTGTACGTATCCACGTTGTACTGCACTAAAGTGCACATGATGATGATGATGACGACAGCAATGATGATGACGATAACGTAATTTTGGCGATGTATGCTGAACTTCTTTCGCGCCGTACGTAGCCAAGCGTGCTAATCGGAGGTGCGGGGGGATAACGTGTCGATGTGAGGATACATGGGTATCTACATGGATGGAGATGGTGGTGGCGACGATAGGATGATGATGACGATTAAGAAGGATAACGATGCTAATGACGGCAGTAGCGATGGTAATGATGACAGCGACGTTGATCTCGATCTCCAAGCGGGAACATTGCCCCCATACCCCCCTGAACCCCCCCCCCCCCAACCTACTCCCTCGGGAAGGTGCTGAGAATCTGCCCCAAGGACATGCGCGCAGACATCTGCGTGCACCTGAACCGCACCGTCTTCTACGAGCACCCCGCGTTCCGCCTGGCGAGCGACGGCTGCCTGCGAGCCCTGGCCGTGGAGTTCCAGACGGTGCACTGCGCGCCGGGAGACCTGGTCTTCCACGTGGGCGAGAGCGTGGACTCGCTGTGCTTCGTCGTGTCCGGCTCCCTCGAGGTGGTGCAGGACGACGAGGTGGTGGCAATTCTCGGTGGGTGGGCTTCCTCGTCATCATCGTCGAGCGGGTGTCGGTCCGCAGTGGCCGCTTAAGCCATCAATGGGCCAGACCGTTTGGAATGTTCCTCCAGGTGTCGCCAAGATCCGTAGTCCCCTAGCCGAGTCCTCCTAGGTAGGCGCGGCCCGCGTCATCGTCTAATACGACGATCTGCGAGCTCCAGGTCAGCCCACGTAGGATCGGGTTTCGATCCGGGATCTGATCTTGGACCCTCACCGGGTAGGGCGAGGTTGAACTACATCGCCTGCTTACAGACGAGCCGCGTAGCCCGAATAGGCCCAGACGGCGGTGTCGGATGAGGAGGCTCTCCTCCATGTGGGCGAGACCAGCGCGGGATGTCACGGTGACATTTGTGATGAAGTCAGACCACTTTGATCCCAAGGATGATGATGATGATGATGCGCCGTTGACAGCTCGTGTGGAAAGCCTCCAGAGCACTTGGCGTCGGACGCGAGCAGTGTCCAGGTCTCGTTTCAACGGGTCGATGCGACGCCCCTGCATCCGCTAAAGGCTGCTACAGTTCACCGCAATGTTAAATATATATTTAAAACAACAATACAACTGAACGCGTTTGAAAATGACACTGCGTGGCCGTGAATGGAAACAATATAAACAATGGGCACATATGTGCAATAAAAAAAATCCACGTGTTATAAAAAAGTGCTATTGCCAGAAGCGCTGCCTATTATATATGCTTCCTTTCAAGGTCGCTGTTATTTGACGAGTGTGTTGAACTGTAAATTTGGCTCGTGCACCCCTCCCAACTCAGCAGCCGCAGCATCACCAGATACTTTGTTTAAAACTAGCATAGACTATTAGATGGAACCGCGACCCTAAATGGCAACGATTTATCTTCAATTCTCCATGGAGGGTGGAGGGGCGGGCGTGCGAGTGAATGAGCGGTGGCGCTGTGGCCAGCGCACCACGCTATGTATTCAACCACATGGGTTCAATTCCCGGCCACGGCTAACATCAGTGACGAGTGGCAACAGACAACAAAACCGGTCTTGGGCCTCCCCTAGGTCAACAAATTATTGCCCGGTGCGGTGCGTACCGATCAGCACTGGGGAGACGAAAGGCGCTGTGCCGGCCTCAATAGGTGCTCGCTAACTGCACTTGCCCTAACAGCCCGTTAAAGGCTACACTTGGGGTCCAGAGTGGTGTTTTAGGTCCAACTCACAGCGTGAGTCCTGCTCTGTCGCTCGTGCCCACCGCCACGCAGCCCCCACCCATGCCCCCCCCCCTACCCTCCTGCTCACCCAGCAACTGCTGCTTCTAGCATCCCAATGATGAATTATTCAAAGGGGGAACGCAGTGGGGAGTCAATTAAGATCTGGCCGCGTGCGAACTATTATATATTTATTTGTTTATTATGAACATCACATCAACAACTACCACAACAAAAGCCACGCGGTTACACAGAGGGGAGAGACGTCGGGGGGAGATGCATGCGGGGCAGAGACGAGGCGAGCCCTGAGGTTGGTGAGAGATTACAGGGGGATCCCCCCCACCCGCACCCTCTGCAGCACTTCCCTGGGCCACATCGTGTACTCCACACGCGCATACGCACGCGTGCCTTTAACAATCACAATTACTGAGCGCCGGCCAAAAAAAAGGTTTAAAAAATGCCAGGCGGCCAGCGACAAACAGCACTCTTAGAGTTGTAATAAATTAAGCGATGGCACTCGTACGAGTTTGTAGGGTACTGTGTGAATATGAAGAGCACTGCAGATTACGCAGCAGCAAGGCATTATCACGGGCAGGGCAGAGTTGGCGGTAACGCGGTGGGGTGGAGTCCTCCCTCTGGAGGCGCGGAGTGAGGAGTGCGCTGGTTGTTGTTGTTGTGGTGGGGGGCGGGGAGCACCCACACCATCGTCTTCGCATCCTTGGCAGCCCCCCACCCTCCCTCCTCGCCTCCTCCCTCGCCCGACCGCCCGCGACTCCCCGCCCGCGAACCATGCGGACCACCTCATCCTCTCCTCGTGCCGAGCGCCTCCGCGATTCTGTGTCCATGAAAGTTTAATGAGACTGGGGGATATGGGCGAGTGGGGGGGGCATGTGGGGTGGGGTGGGGGAGCCGAGGGGGGCCGCGCTGCATCTGACTCGAGGCTCCGAGCGTCGAGAGGATGGGGCAGAGTCCGCGATTGATGCGCGAGCGAGGAGTTTGTTAACACGGGGTCATTACTCTCTTCTGTCAATCACACACACACACACAAAGATCCGCCGTATAGCCTTGACAGACTTTTGAGGCAAGTGCTGTGAGCGAGCACCTAACGGCACACGAGGGCGTGCGTTGGCAGCACCACGCCCGGCCGCCTTTGTCTCCCCAGTGGCGATCTTTACACACCGCACACCAGTTACTGATTTAAGGCTGAGTCGACCTTCACACACGTACGCACGTAAAAGGCGCACTCAGATGCACACGTGACGCACGAACAACTATAGCCATCGTGCAGCTGTCAACATTGTTGGGTGAGTGTTGTTAGCGAGCACCTATTATGAGCACGAGGGGTGGCGCTGTGGCCAGCCCCAGGCCCCTCCGCCTTTGTCTGCCTCGATGCTGACGTTCAGTCGGCCCATCAGAGGTCCGCATTTTAAAGCTGAGTCGACCGAAGGAAGGCCCAGGACCCGTTCAGATATTCAGTCATCACTGACAATAAACCGTGGCCGAGAATCACACTGAGGTCACCGGGTTGGTACCTCAATCCGTTAACCACTGCGCCACCTAAGAAATACAGTCATGATATCAATCATTCACAGCCCTTTCTTTAAAAAGAAAAGCATACAAGCTTGGGCTAGCGGCGTCTGCAATTGACAGCCGTTACCGCGAGCGACTTCGTCCCCAGCAGTAGGGGTCCGGGTGATCCGTGCCAATCATTCGTTTATAATAGAGGTGTTTTTTGGGGGGGGTTAGATCGCGTAAATATATAAATGTGTCGTTAAACCCGCCACCACCAGACACATAAACAGAACGTGGCAATTCGTCACTAGTACAGCACACCGGTGTGTTGGAGAGCTAAGCCACAACATTTATGACGTTTTTACAACTATCTTCAATAGCCAGATTTGGCAGCCAAATCTGGCTGTCGCCTGATGACGCTAGTTGTAATTACTGATGAAACGTCGTACTCACATTGTTAATGTTGTGGCTTCGCTCTCCAACACACTGGTGTGCTGTACTAGTGACGAATTGCCATGTTCTGTTTACGTGACAACCCTTACTAGTTGGCTGTGTCGGGTGGTGGCGGGTTTTAACGACACATTTATATATTTACGCGATCTAACCCAAAACAACCTCTATTGTGGATGATATTGGCCGCGAAAGCTTACGACGTGTTAAACATTCTTTAGTTTGTTGTCCTTCCCGCGCACCTCCAATTAGCACGGTTGGCTAGGTACGATGCAAAATAAGTTCAACATACGTCCATACACACAGTCAACCGCGCGTCACCCCACCCGATCTGTCCCGGGCTCTTGCCCATCGCGCGCGGCTTCCCAGCAGCGCGAAAGTCGCGCAATTACGCAGCGCGACCCGAGGCCTCGTTAATTAGTGTGGTGGCTAACTCCTTCCCCGCACCCACCCACCCCACGCAGGCAAGGGGGACGTGTTCGGAGACGCGTTCTGGCGAGAGAGCGGCCTGGCGCAGGCGTGCAGCAACGTGCGCGCGCTCACCTACTGCGACCTGCACGCCATCCCGCGCGAGCCGCTCCTACGAGTCCTCTCCTTCTACGCGCCCTTCGCCAGCTCCTTCGCGCGACAGCTGCTGCTCACCTTCAACCTGCGCAAGCGCGTGCGTGGCGCCCTGCACCCAGCACCGACACTCACTCCGCTCGCTCCCTGCACTCGCCGCACAGCGCGCTTCTCTGCACCCGACGCTCAGCGCGCAGTACACAGGGACAGTGCGATATGAACCACCGATCCATCCCGTTGAGCGCGGTTGGCTACGTACTACGTACGGTGCGAAAGACGTTCAACGTACGTACGTGCACCCCGTACGACGTGAATCACCAAGCCACCCAGCACCCTAGTCTCTGCACGCTGGGGCACGCACCCAACACTCACGGTGGCACCACAACACACGCGATGCATCAAACCACCCGGACACCCACCCTGCCCCGGGCGCCCTGCACTCGGCGCACCCTGGAACGCGCACCATAGCCCACCCTGCACACAATGTGGAGGAACCAGCATCGTTCGCCAGGCACTGAGCTGCTAGCCCGGCTACCTGAGTTCGATTTACCGTCCATGGAAAGCATCAGTAGCGAGCGACATCCGAAACGGTGCGAGGCCGCTAACCACCGCGACCCGCACCTCTTCACAAACCCGCGCGGAGCAGCGCGGTGAAGTATGGCGAAGCAACCCTAATGCTCGACGCGGTGTGGGGAAGCCTTCACCCAGCAGTGGATCTCCACGCTACTAACAATTATCATGATACAACAAGTACAAGGATCTGGTTCTTGGTGCAAATCGAATACGCGGCCCCCACTCTCGCCACTGCCCCCGATCCCTACCACCTCCTCCTCTGCCCCCCCCCCCCAGATTGTGTTCAGAAAAATCAGCGACGTGAGACGCGAGGAGGAGGAGGCGGCGGCGCGAGCGAGGCGGGGCAGCGCGGCACCCCACGTGGAGCTGCACTCCGACCACCCCGTGCGCCGCCTCCTGCAGCGGCTGCGGCAGCAGAAGGAGGCGCGGGGCGCGGCGGAGAGGGGCTCCCCAGCGGGGGGCGGCGCGGAGGAGCCCGGGCCGGACTCGCTGCCCCCCACGGTCCCCAATGGCTCATCGGTCAGCAGCGATAGGAGTAGCGTGGTGACCATCACGGAGGCGCCCGGTCCCTCTCACGATAAGCCGACCTCTCTGCCCCTGAGCCTGCAGGGGTCGTCGCCGGCACTGGGGCACAGCGCTCCGGGGGCCCTGCTCTCGGCCCCCAGCGCGGGGCCCTTCAAGAAACCCACGGGGTGGTCGCGCTTCAGAGGGGCCCTCAACGTCGCCTCCAAGGAACCCAGCGGCGGCGAGAGCCGGGGTCACTCTCCGACAGAGGTCATCGAGATGACGGAGGCGAGCGTGCGGGGGCGCGAGGAGAGGGCCGGCGGTGCGAGCACCCCGTCTCAGGTTCGCGTGTGGGAGGCGTCACCCGCCACCTCCCCCGCGCAGAGCCCCCCCGCGGGCGCGGGCCGGACCTCCGAGAAGGTGACTCTGAGGAAGACGGAGTCCTGCGACAGCGGCATCACGCGCAGCAGCCAGAGGCTGGACGCGCACGACGGAGCGCGGAGCTCGGAGCACAGCCCCGCAGCGGCGGGGCCAGCGGCCGGGGCGGCGGCCGTGAGAGAAGTGCGACGTCCGTGCCTCGCCATCCCCGAGCAGAGGCTGCACGCGTCGGTGCTGGGCGCGCGGGATGACCTCAAGCAGGACGTGATGTCGCTGGGAGCACGCATGGCCGGCATGGAGAGGCAACTGGCGGAGATCGTGCGGCTGCTGAACGAGCGGCAGGCCCGTGACTGTGGCCCGTGACTGCGGCCCGTGACTGTGGCCCGTGACTGTCGCGGCCCGGCGCGTGGCTCCAGGCTACAAACTCGGCCGCAGGTTTATTTTTGGTTGTTCCCAGCCCGGTGGATTCAAGTATGATTGAAGCGTGACGATAATTGTGATGATGCACCGGTGATGATTGTTCTTGTAAGATGGTGAATTCATTATTGACGAAGACGATTGATGAGGATGATCGATACTAAACTGTGATCCCACCAGTCCAGATTTCCTGGGAAGGTGCGCTTACTGCCCCCGGTCTCTCTTCTGCGAGAGAGAACTATCGCAATAAAATGTTCTTCCCACTCATCGATCACCACACCTTGACCCGGAGCAGCGGACAGCGAGGAGGCAGTGACTTGCGGACAGTCCCCGCAGCAGCAGCAGCAGCAGACTGGGTGCTCTCAGGAGACGACTGGATTCTGTGTCGCTAACTGTCGCCACCCTTGGTCGTGTGTTCGACTCGATATCGACTTCCGGAGTGAGAGAAGGAGAACTGCTGTCGTGCTGCCTCGTGAGACCCCCCGCCCCCCCACCACTTCACCCCCCCCCACCCCCGTTCACGTCCACGAGTCCCTAAGCGCCTGCGTTAGTTGCATTGGGTAGATGTTACAGATGCATGGCAAGTGTCAGCGCCGGGGGGGGGGTCCTGGGTCGAATTGTGGAGCCTGATAAATCCGCGTGTGACCTCACACAGTGACCACCTCGTCCAGGCGATCAGATCACTCGGTAGACGTCCCGCGAACCGTTTCTCCCATTGATGCGATCGCCTCAATGGTTCCTCATCGCTCGGTGCGCGCGGTGATTTACCGACTCGACGATCGCGTCTCGTCTCGATGGCTAACTTCGTTCATTGATCCTCATCACCCGTCGATTCCCAGAGTCGGTGGCGATCCTCTCGCAGCGATGTCCCCACCGAGTGATCTCCTCGCTTGAACTACGAGTTCGGTGATCTCTCTCTCTCTATATATATATAAAAAAACAAAAATCTCCCAACTCAATAAAACTCACCTCGCACGGTGACGTCACAGTGGGTGACCTCTTCAACACCCCACTCCCAGCAACCATGTCAACGTCGGGCCAACGTTGGAAATGCGGTTGAAACCGTCGAGCCAACGTCGGCCCAACGTTTATTCAACGTTCCGCGTTTAATGGGTGGTGTCCTCACCTCCGCAAGAACCTCGTTCGGGGGCTCCCGGTGCATAAACAAGATCCGCATGCGGCCCTCGCCTCGCGCGCCCACGCACCGCGACCACGTGTCTCGTGAATGTTCGCGAATGTGAAATGCACGCGGTGGAAACGACGGCGAGGCCTCGACCACAAGCAGTGCAAACGTCGATTAAACGACTTTTTGCAGTACCCCGGGTCGCTGTGGAATTCCCCTTCATGTCGCGTGGACTTACTCGACGTCGACTTGAAAACAGAGAAAGGACCCCCCTCCCCCACCAACCTCCCTCCAGTATGCACCCAATTATCCGGAATAAAAGGAGACGCTCAGAAAAAAGTAAGACGCAATCCCAAGACTTGTGATCCCCTGCGTCAATAACGTTACCAACTTATTCTGGTCTCTTCTCACACATACGCACAGTACACCTCACATGATTATCAGACGCACCCCCCAAACATTGCTCTGAAATACACGACAGGCAAACGGTCTATCTGAAAATCCTGAGAATACGGTGGAAGGGGAAGTGTAACGATGAATGGAATAATGGAATGTTCGTACAGACACAGACCCCGGACGCTACGGGTCTGCGTGGTCAGTGTTTACCAATCAGCAGGCGCGTGCAGCGTGTAAATGATCTCAGTTCGTATTTTCGAACGCAGGAGATCGGTGAACCGTGGAGAGGCGACACGAATCTTTTTCCTGATTCAGCTGCTGCTGTTGCTGCTGTCGAGAAGCAAGGGTAATGTTACAATGAAGTGATTCATGAACCAGATGATTGCGTCAGGGGGTAGTGGAGTGGTGCATCGTTGCGTTGATGATGCTCCCTTCGTATTCAAAATCAGAATATATATTTATAGTGGAGGAATCCGATGAGCTATAAAGCTATTTTATTACAGATGTTCTGTAGGGGCAGGTCAGAACGTTACAACAACAAACAACACAAAACACGATAAGAGTGAAAAGCATAGGGAAGTTAAGCAAGTTTTTTTTAAGTACGAATATAACTCAACGATTTGTTTTTATCCTACCAGGTAAAGCCCACTGAAATATTAGCTTGTTTTTTCATAAGCGACCTGCCCACAAATGATAGCTCAACGAAGCGGTTTATCAGGTGAACGAAGAGGTGTTTGTCCTGGATGATCACAGCCTCCGCACACCGCCGGAGAGTTTCGTCGTCGTCATCATCATCATCATCAAAGTATCCCTCGATCTTCTGCAGAGTGCCATGGTTTGTGTAAGGACGCGCTCCAGAAGTTGTGGCCCCAGAAGCTTCACAGGGATCGTCCGAGTCGTTGGTTCTTTGCGGCGAGCGCTTGCGGTGCTGGGAAACCCCGCACGTCACCACCTCCGTTATTAATGCTCTGCCGCTTTAAAAGCCTCTGCTGCTCCTAAAACCTACAATGCGCTATCTATCCTTCACAACGTTTCCAGACCCATTTAGGTAATTGGCGGGGAGGGGGCTGAGGAGGTTGGGAATCTGAAAAGGGGGGGGGGGCGGGGGGTAGCGAAAGCCCAGCTCCCCCAGCTCCTGACAATCAATAACAAGACGAGGAGACGAGGAGCCGGGGCCATTCAATTAGCGGAGTCAGGTCCCCTCCCTCCTCCGAACCCCCGCCCCTCAACCCCCCCCCCCTTAAATCCCCAGCCTCAGCTCCCCGCAGCCGAGACTAAAGCGTGGGGCTTCCCCTTCACCTTTCCCCCGAAGCCCCCCCCCCTCCAGCCAAGGCCCCCCCCCGCCCCCGCCCCCACTTCCTCTCGTGCTTTCAGGGACGCGGACACCTGCCGAGGGAGCGGGAGCGTCCCCCCTACTCCCCACCGCCCCTCCCCCATCACCCTCACCCCACCTCCCTCTCCCTACTCTCACCACTCACCTGTCCAGGTGAGGGGACCCCCGCCGGCGCGCGCCCAGGCTCCTGGAACAACTGACGCGCGCGCGCGCGAAAATCCGGCTTCATTATTAGAACGCTGAATCCGACCGCGAACTTCACCTTAATCCCTGACCCGACCTCTCAGCTCGACACGTTCGATCAGCCGGTAGCACGGCTCAGAAGACCTCGCTGGCCGCGATCGGGTCCACGGCCGTAGCAGGAGGGTGGTGGAGCATGACCGGGCTGCGATCGTAAACATCAGCCTCACGATACGTTTGAGAACCCGGTTTAGGCATCGGGAGCTGTGAACCTGGTGTCGAACTCAGGTTGTCAGCAGAGGACCAGCTCAGCGCGGTGACCTCTGAGCCACCGGGCCACATCATCCCACGCATAGGTTAAAAATATCGCGCCATTGTTTAAGACGTGGGGCGTCCCGTACAGAACCCATCATCACCAACGCGTCAATTCGTCGCCATCGGGTGTTGGATCAATGAAACCGAGAGATGCTGACCCATGCCCTCGCCCTGACCAAGTGCAACGCCGTCCAACAACCGCAGCCAGCCACGAACTCAATTATCATTGTAACCCTGACCCCTTCCATAAGCCATCGTATTAAATAACTCAATGATTGCATGTCCCTCCGGTAACGCGGTACGACCACGTCCCGGCTGTTGTGTAACAACAACTTGAGACGCGCTTGCGTTTACGATCCCTCTGCAGAAGCCCATCGCCGCAATGGACTCATTGATCCCTGGACCCGCCGATCCCAGAACTCGCCGGAATGGACGCGGCACCCCGACGTGACGGCGGCGATTGCTGCATTCTGGGGGGGCACGACACCTTCACGGATTCGTAGAGCCGTACTAATGAGCTCATTAGCATATAGGTGCTTCTAATTAAGCGCTCAGGGGAACCCGGCCGCGAGCGCGACAGGGGTCTCGGCGGTGTCGCAATGACTCAGCCGCTACCCCCCCCCCCCCCCCCCCCCTCTCGGGGTCGGTGCCACCAGCCCCTTACCCCGGTGCAGAATCAACGAGGCTTCGTTCCGCGCTCGTTCTGCGCTCAACAAAAAAAACGCCACCTTTTGTTGAATCGCCCCTTTGCCCTCCCCCCCCCCACCACCCACACCCCCACCAAGTGACGAGTCCATAATTCTAACGTTTTCCCTACCAATTATATTCCAACAGTGCTGTGTCATGAGGTCGTGAAATGGGGGAAGGATGTAAAACAAAAAAACACACATCCATTCGGATCTCTCGTTCGGGAGCGCTCCATCAGCCCGTGTCAGCAGAGTCGGGTCTCTGCGATGTGACGGCGAATTCCGAGTAGCAATTCTCAACGGAGTCTTGTCCACGCCAGGGGCGCTACAGCCCTCGCGCGCGCCTTCGCCGGAGAGGCGTTCCGACCCCACGACACACCGAGTGATTGACTTGTATGAACATTACAACAACAACAACAAAAGATCACGATTAACGTGGAGACTTCCCTGTGTTGTCATTGGTGTGACCGGGGTTGAGACCATCAAGCACACAGCGTTGGTGTACGGTGTTTTTTTCTGCAATATTTTGCTGTCTTTACTTGGATTTTCTGTTTGCACTCAGTCACATATTCACTTTAAGATGTTTTTTTGTTCATGTTTTTGTTTTTTGTTTGTTGCGGTTGCACCCGATTCAAGAGCCGAATGGCTCACATGGCTATACCTAATAAATGAACTTGAACTTGAACTCACTCCGCCTTTAGATGGCTAGTCAACGGTGCGTGGTCAGCGTTCTGACCCGCGAGCCACGAGGCCACCTCCAAAACATTTTAGTTTCTCGCCATCATCCGCATTAAGCGACAAATCAAATTCAATATTGAGGATTCGTTGCGCAGACATTGGTGAGTCCGTCGACTCGCTGTGCACTCGAGACCCTGGCTCAATGACGGGCGGCTGAAACCCGGATTCCCAACCCGGATCTAGGCTGGTACCAGCTCCTCAGTGTCTCTGGCATGGCCATAATGAGCCAGCCCCCGCTCACACCACGGTTCATCGTTTCACACGCCGCAGCTTCGCTCTGAGTCAGCGAGGCGACAGGAACTCAAAGGCACCGATGTCGCGTTCAGTAATAGCACAAAGGAATTCTCGCCTCCAGCGCCACTTTTTGATTTTCCCTCCCGTGGAGTCTCGTGGTGTGGAGGTGCTTATACACATACACACACACACGCTGCACACACACACACACGCTGCACACGCACACACACGCTGCACACACACGCTGCACACGCTGCACACGGCCATGCGCAGGACTGCTGTGCTGTTAGCGAGCACCTGTTTTTAGGCGGCCTACGTCCTGAACGTCGACCTCGAGGGGAGCACCCAGGACAGGTTCAGAATACACGTGCCACACTGTTGGTGGTGGGAATGGCGGCGAATTTAACCCAGGTTGGTTGTTGGTTCCTAAGGCATTGCGCGAACTACTGAACGACTGCTTCTTATACAGAGACACAGACCCTCCCATATAATATTTAACAGGCCGTTGGGTCCCGTACTGTTAGCGAGCACCTTTGAAGGCTTCCCATACACACGCGCGCACCAAGCTAACGACTACACCAGCGCTCCCCACATTACACACAACTGACGCTATGTGGGGTCTTTTGAGATAGAATCTCCTCGCAGAACACGTGACCCAACCCAATTCTTGGAGACCCCAAGAGACCCCCACATTTTATGAATTCCTCGGCGGGGGGGGGGGGGTGGCCGGGAGGGAAGGAAGGCGTCGCGTGGTGCGACTATTGAAGAAAAATCGTATTTCATCTCCTTACAAAACACGTGATGTTTCAATAATGAGGAGGTGCGCGTATGCCCCCCCATCACCATCACCACCCCCCTGCTCCTCTTACATAGCAGAGGCTGCGCGGGGGGATTTAAGGTCAGTCTCGTCGTGAGTCTCGTGCAATACGTGGCCCAACTCTCCCACGCGTAGAGGAGGTGGGAGTACCCACACTTTACCCCACCGCACATGCTTGGGCCTGCCGCTCGACTGACTGCTCTGGTGAACCCATTTATACAGCTGCTGGGGTGGACAAAGACGGTTGTTCGGGCGGGGGTGGTTCGGAAACTCGCCCCACTCGGTCAATTGCCGCGCCCGGAGATCGATTCGAACCGGCGACCTCTGGGTTGCAAGTTCAGTGAACTAACCAACGTTACACCACGGCGGCAACCCCTCGGATCTCATGTCGTCCGATAGACATCGTATCTCGAGTTAAAGCTTTCGTGACTGCAGGGATTCATGTTCT